GGTCGTGCCGTTGATGTTAGAGATTCCATGTGAACAAGAGAATTTTGTGTACTGACAAGGCACTAGTGTTTGTTGAGACGAGGACAGCTCGAGTATGAACAAAGAACACTGGGCCAATCTTCTTTTGCATCCCTAATGTTTTTCCAATTTCTTAGATCAATGAAACTCATATTAAACGTGATAGAACCAACAAATAGATCCTAAATTTTCAACGTCTCGGTACATAGTCTTTAAAGTTTCTTGTGACCAAAGGAAGAAAACTGACATAAGTCAACTTCCGTGTTCCTATCGTATTTTCAGTATATGTTGAAGGAAAACTAAGGATTAAGGTTTCTGAAGGTTTCTGATGGGACTGACTTGAAGAGAGAACAACCTCTTTCTCGAATAGACAAGCTGAGGCCGGCCACCGTCACTGGGGGAGGGTACAGCGAGAAGTTGGGGCCATAGAAACACCAGGGCAGAAAAATCCACAAAAATTGAAAGCCATTCAAATGAATCGACAACTAAATGAGGACCGAATTTCAGCATAATTGATCAAGTATCCAAAACATCACGGGTAGACCCCCACTACAAAAAATAACCGCTAAGGGATCATATGAACTTAATCAAGCCTTTGACCACATTTCTCTACACAGATACTCTCCTTTATCATCTAAAGTAGAATCAGGTTCTTGTTTTTACTGACATATTTACCATTTTACAAATCCGCTAATGACGAAATCGACTTATTAAAAATTCATTGTCACTTTCTATTCGATGATATTTATGTCCCACGGTTATCAATCATTGATAAATTTTCCTTCCGAAGAAAGACCTAACCGTTGTCCGCCAATCTATATATAGCTTGGAAACTGAGCAATTGGTTTCTTTATTTAAACTGAGAGAGTTTATTTAAACCGAGAGAGTTCAGGGACAAACTGTTTGCATTATATAGACAAAAAGGCAAATCTCTCAATCGTCAGAACCGTTTTCAAGAGACAATGCCTCTGATAGTTAGAGCTATATTCTAACGGGTATAGTGAAACCGCTGCAAGTAGGAGGATCCTGAAGGCACTGCTTCGATTCCCTGTAAAGAAGCTATCTTAGCAGCCCGTAAATCGCAGGAACAAACCTGTGGTCTGTTTATCATTTACTAATAATGAAGGAAATAGATGTCCTTTTCCTTGATGGGTGAGAATAATTAAAAGCCTCATTTCTATAGTTCACCAGAAATCTGTGCTTTTTGATTTTCTTGGAGTAATTAATTCGAATTCAACTCTGCGTTGATTGGATGATTCTCCTCAATTTGGTAAGCGTTGATGGCTGGACGTCAAGAAATAACAAAGTTTACTTCTGAAGAACATAAAAATCAATAATCTTGACTACTATAAACTATTAATCTTGGTGGTAAATGGGGGTACAGATCCTGCTGTTGACCCTTGGACTTTATCAACAAGTCAGAGGCCTGAGGAATAGCACAAAACGTGGCTGTGACGGAAGTATGGTGGAAGGAAAAATTGAGTGCGGAATAATGTACTCTTATTGAGTCGCTTCAAAAGAATTGATTTCCTCATCATAAGCCAGGTAATAAAATTTAGCTTTGTTCTCAACAGGATTTCTTGAGCTAATGTTTTTCCAAAAGATGGCAAGACATCACTTCATCACAAATCCATTTAGTAGTTATATAACACTTCAATTGCTGACGATGGAATCTTGTGGTACTCCTTTAGATGCTGGCAATGTTACTCTTACCTTTCACGTCTAACCCCGCTCTTCGTCCTTGTTATTCGATGAGCATGATAAGTAACATAGTTAGGAATCAGGAGATAAATGGAATGGGGTTCCTGAGGTAGAGAAAATTTATTCAAAACCGCGATATCCGATGTGCAAATCGTTGTAGAAGAAGAAATGGAGGCCGATAAAAACCAAGACCTAGAAATTTTTCATCTGATAAAAAGTAGAAGAGATAAAAATTGAGAGAAGGAAAGAGGAGACACAGAAAGACAGACGGACAGACATAAAAGAGGGACAAAAGGAGAGAAGACATAATACGTCACATTAACATTTTAATCCAGAAGCTGGCAGTTATATGGTCCGAATGCGGCGTTGTAAAATAAGAGTAGATGACGAGCACCTCTCTTAAGTGTCCAAGCGGTGTGGGGGATGCAGAATGCCTCTTACCTACACCAATGCGAAAGGCCAGCTAGAGCCATTGACAGTGGTTTCTCGCTGTCGTATCGGAGCATCGTAAGGCACAAGCAAGAAAACTGTCGGCACGGTCACCGCCAAAGAAACGCGTCTACGTTCCCTTATCTCTCTCGCCCTGAGCTTTCAACCCATTTTTTATTTAAAATGGAATCGAGCTAGAGAACTGAGGTCACTCCAGGACTCTGGAGTCTTTTCTAGGTGGAAATCGGGTCTGTTCAGTCAAACTTTTATACGATACGTACCACCAGAAGAAGATCGTCCAAGTGGTGAAGATTCTTGATTTTTTCAGTTTATCAGCTCAGCCGATTTTGATGAGGATAAACTCCGTCACGAGATTGCGTCCAGCCGTCTACTATGACCAAATGTGTGAAAATTGGAACGGCGTACGTGCCACGATATGTATTGCTGACTGACCAAAACGCGGAAGAAGATTGACCTGAGAACTAACGAGCAGAAGTATACGACCAAGAACTTGCAGTGTCCTTTCATCAATAAGAATTATTACCACATTTTAGGGTTTAAGATAACAGATCTAATATCCGCATTTGCTCTTTCCTCTGGCTATATTGAGTTACTTGTCACATCTTCGTTTCTGTGAAACGACCAAGGCAAGCGTGACCCCACGAAGGCGTTTTAATGTCAGCGATAATCGGCGACGACGACAGCACCGACAGAAGTAAGAGAGCCGTTGCCACCAGGCATCTCTTTGCGGCTGGATGCCCTAGAGATGGTACTATTTCTTTTAAGAACGTAGCAACTGAGTAAGACCATCACCGCAGTCATGTTCCTTGAGTTTCAACGGCTTGAGGTTTGATTTTGTAACGACGTTCAGCCAGCAACGATGACCGAATCCGACGGATCATGAAAGGCAGGAACTGTAGAGTCCTATAATCTTTGACATGGAATCAGGTTGACCGGACAAATTGAGTGGCCAAACGGATCTTCTGTGTATTCTAAATTTGAACTGTAAAGAATGAAACTTGACAAAACGTGTCTTGACTGTTGTCTGTTAACACAAGAAGATTTATCCGTTCAGCTAACGCAGCCTTGCAATAAATAGCTGGAACATAGTACTGGGGAACCGTATTAAAATTTATTTTCAGTATATTTAGAAAGTCCAGAAATATGGTATTTTTATATTTAGTATACCTTTGGATCTCTATGAAACTGCATGTCTCTCAATAGTTCATCAAATTGCCTCATCCATCATCTGCACCGAATTTGGTTTTAACAGGCTATATGCTCGTTTCTCAGTCATCCATGTGGCACAACTTCAACGCGTCACGCAGGGAACATCAGCGTATTACAGAACCGAATCATCAGTTTTATCCTGTTAATTTCACAAGACACGGATCATGGGCGGAGGATTCTTTTCTGCCTTCTCTCCCGACTAACCCAATCTCGTCAGCCCTATTCTGGCCCATCACTTGAACCGAAACACTTGCCAACGGAACGTGAACAAGCCTTGACATCTCAGAAGTTAGACCTTGGTTGGCATTCTAATAGATTCGTACAAGCCCCCTTTCAGACATGAAACGAACAAATCGTTTCCTTTAACGACACAGGAGGAATAATCATTGCTATTTAAGTATTGTAGTAGATCGACAAGCAGACCGGGTGTTGAGAAAACACAGAGAAAGGGAACTGGGCAAGCCAACTAGAAAAGTCCATTAGAGATATCCATCCTAGGGGCAGCACGGAGCAGGTACCGGCTTGGGGCGCGGATGGAACATCCGAGGAGCTCGAGGATGCAAACTTGGCAAGTATCTAACTGGTGATTTTGGGCGTGCTTCTGGTAAGGCAGAGGCCCGGTAAGCTGTCTTCATTCTCGTTAGAATCTGGGCTGCATCGCTAGGCGTGGACGACAGTAGAAGAATTGAGAGCAAAATTGCCAGCACGGTCCCTTCTCTTGCCTGCATCATCCGCATCATCGCCATGGGCTCCCCTTCTTTCTCTTGTATCACCATCCAAAGCTGGACAAAACTCTCTGCACTTCTTCCAACAGATAGCCTCTACAAGTGGTTGAACACCATTTTCACATTCAATTTCCTGGAACAAGGGAAACGCGTTTTTTTATTATTATTATTTAATTATTTTTATTTTATTTTATTTTATTTTTTAGGGAAACGCGTTAATCGGTGGAGATTCGTAATAAAAAATTCGGCAAATGTCTGACAGAAAGAAAACCAAAAGCAGGAAATCGACAAAGGATGACCAAAGTTGGAGACAATTAAAGGCTGACGTAGTGTATGAATATTTTCTGTCATTTTTAAGAAAATTCACCAAATTTAAAATTTATAAATAATGAAAATAAGCTAATTTAGAAATAAGTAATTTTATAGGGTTTCCCAGGTCGAACACACGGAAGATAAAAAAATTACTTACTTATGTTTTTAATTTCCAGTTGATAGATTAGTCTTTTTAGAATTTTTAATTGCGAAAATTAATAATAATTATAAAATACTAAATTATGTATTATGACGTCATTGGACGTCAGCTCGCGACGAACACCCCTAAATTCGAGTCGCCGGAAATACGTCGAACTCGTATTTGTCAAAATCAAAGCCAAATTAATTTGAATTAGATTTTAATTTACAGGAATAAATTGTTCGTAACACAAATTCTAATTGACTCAAACTGTTGATAAATAAGAAGAACGTAAAAGTCGTGCAAAGATTAAAATCTTACGGAAGATTGGGCGGAACGGTGGTCGATCGAATTTCCGCCTGAATTCGATAGATCTGTGCAGGTGCGGTGCACCTAGTTGATTCCTACACTATCTCCAGGCCGATTAATGACGATCCCAAAAAATTTCACTTGCTAGAATCGAACGACGGCTGTGGTTCGAAGCCGAGCATGCCGCGGCGTCCGGAGAAGGATCCTCGGAAGATGTTCTTCGCCGTTTGTATCGAACGAAGAATGAGACGATTTCGTACATGAATTTCAGCTTCCGTAGCGGCTGAATCCGGGAGAAATCGAGAAGAAATCCATCGTTTGTATCGGATGGATGATTTGGGCGAATGGGGCGTTCGTCGCCGCCGGAGGAGAGAGAATGTGATTGTGGAGAGCGATAGATTGATCGAAGATGCCCCATTCTTTCTCCCCCAGCATTTTTCTATTTCTCTCTCTCTCTCTCTCTCTCTCTCTCTCTCGATGAGGTGGACAAGAAATGCCAGGCCGGGGGTTTCTAGTGAGATAAATGAGGAGATGGAGATGGAGATGGATTGAATGATCCTAGTCCTGCCATGCTCTCGAAGGGTTGACATTTTTCAGATAAGAGATAAGGATACTTATTCCCACAGTCATCAATTATTGATAAATTCTCCACAGACAGACGGCCCTCATCATTGTCCACCAATCTATATTTAGCTTCGAAGATGAGCAACTGCTAACTAAGGGAGTTCATAATTTCTGGATGAGTATAAATCCTCACTATTTAGTGACTTGAACTGTTACCGATATCTTGTCAACAAGGCCAAAGTCTGAATCATCAGAAGAATTTTTATGATATTATCTCTCAGATATATAAAGTTATATCCTAACGGCAAGAAGTAGGAGGATCCTGAAGGTAATGCTTCCCTAGCATGTAAAAGACCAGTCCTGACAATTAGTAAAGTATGGAAGCCAATATGTGGTCTGACTTCCACATGAAGTAGCTTTCCATATAACTCAATATTTTCAGGCCATAAGTTGAAACCAAGCAATCTTCTATTTTCAGATCAAGGAATGTCTGATAATTACAATACTTAACTCCTCAAGATATTTCATAATTTTAAAAAAAAATTATAATAAGGAGAGTATATCTAGTCTTCTTTGGTTTAAGGAACCCTTGTTTCTCTAGTTCACGGGTAATTCTAATCCTTTATTCTCCTTCAAGTGTATTCTCTTTATTCTCTAGCTGATTTATGAATCCGATGTCATTCGGGAAATAGTGATATGGCTCCTTCACCTGATGTTAGGCAAAGTACATAAAGGATTGTTTTCCTGCTTTTGCTAAAAGACTGTGCCTTAGCAATCAATAAATTCGGCTAACTCTGGTTCTTTCATACCTTGATTTGAAAAGAGAAAGAACAATCTTGCTTGATCATTCAATGAATCCATTTTTCCTTGAAGACTCCTGGCGATTTTCAGCGAGGCGGGGGGGAAAGAGCGCGATAAAAAGACTATTCAGGCAGCTGAAGGATAGCTTAATACTTTTAACTGCTGATAAATTACCCGTTGACGAATTGTTATTCACTTTGCTTCGTCATAACCTGTGATGAATTTCCATGACAGTCATTTCTGCCTCTCTTGGCCAACAAATGGCATCCAAATGCCTTGCGTTTAGACAGAACTAAAAATAATTCTCAATTCCATTACTAAGACGAATTACCATAGGCATCTCATTGTATAATATCTTCCAGTCAACGAGATAAATCAAACTTCATCTTTTACTGATCTCCGTTCCCACAAGCGTCGTCATTGTAGAAAATAGGCAATTAGCAGGCGAATAGTCGCTGAGGCAGCCAGAACTTGAAGCACCCAGGCAATTTGGTTCTCATGGATAAGTGCTTCCAACTAAACTGCGCAATTGACCGTTGACCCCCTGAAAGGCAGGTTAGAGGTCAGCTGTAGTTTGGGATGAGGATAGTACCAAGAGAGATGAGAAAAGGGAGGAGGACAGCACAAGGAAGGCCTTCTGTTTGCGCCACAACGAACTGCGTACTCTCGTCGCAACGCAGAAACGGACGAAATAGGGTTTTAACGCCACTAGCTGTTGGATGCTGAAGCGATGGCATGTTAGGAGATCCAAATAAACCATTGGATTGCATGTTGACAGGACCGTAGAGGAATTCAGTTAAAAGAGTCCCAACCGAGCCGGATAAGGATGGACAAAATCTTAGCAATTTGACTACTCTATAGGTAATCGCCCGAAAAAAATTACTTTCTCTAATCAAATCTTTACTGATTTCAACTTCAACCGTACAGCTTTCAGCCGTTATGAAAATTCCAACCATACAAGCCTTCTGAGCAGGCAACAACCACTAGTTAATTCGATCCATTCATGCTACAGTCTCACGTCCACTTTCTACTGCAAGTATAATTACGTGAAAGCTTCCCTAAGCATTTAATCGTCCGAAAACTCAAGAAAGTTTTTCTTTTAAGCCTCACGATTGAGATGCAAATATTATATCAATATTTTTACATCTGAAGACGCTCTAAGGAGTATTGATAACAATATTTTTAGCTAGTGCCTTAGTTCCTAACTTAATACATATTCGTCTTGTTGATAACAAGATTTAACAATTAAATTGACCTCAAATTATATGATCTTGGAAGTTCTGTAATGATCATAGACGAAATACTATATCTTATAGATCATAATTCAGTGCGCTTATCAGTAGTTTTAAATTCCCAAAATTCGAAAGATGTGAACACAATCCAGGTGATCACTCCAGTTCGTCGGAAAATCATCTCCAATACTTGGATGATTCGTAAGGTTTTACACCATCCATCTTCATTGATATGCAAATTTAGCATGGCACAAGGCTTCAGGATTAAGATGACATCTAGAGAGGGTTGACAATCCAATAGCATCAGTTCCTTGGCTTTAAGGAAACATATCTATTTCACACGCAGGACTTGTATTAGAGAATTTACTAAATGTACGCCTAACGAGTACATCCATATTTACATCCATATCTCATCCATCTTCTTTCTTTCCATTTTATTATTTTAATGACAGCTTCAACTAGGCTCCGATTAGAAATTTGCTTGCTGACATGTTAAGAGCGAAGCCTTGGCGCGGAGATCGGCCTTCTATTTGCGCCACCGCGAGCTGTGTGACTTTCGTCGCAACGAGCCACCACGAACTGGCGGTTGGATAATGGTTTAGCGATGGCATGTTAAGAGATCGAAATAAACCTTACCATTCCATGTTGACGTTCCATGTTTGTAGAGAAAATCGGTTAAAATTGTCTCAACCGAACACCATAATGTGGACAAAAAAATCTCGGCAATTGGACTATTCTGTGGCTATATATCGGCGTCAACAAACCATAGAACTGACTGAATCATCATAATTGTTTGTTTCTGTTTCTTTCTCATTCATCTGCTGATGCGGTTTTATCTTCCAACTCGTACCACTACTTATGCATAGCCATATATTCTTCAATATCTACCCCTTTTTGCTTGACATTTAATATTTTCCTTAAAGCCTAAATGGTACCGAAAATATTCGTTCAATATTGAAAAAGACGATAGAACGTTCGCTATACCGGTTAGTACAAAAATGAAAATTGAATCTGATCACAAGGCTTGGACTGGAGGGGGCAAGTGTCTAAGCATGTTAAGGTCTGACAAACCTTCAACCACATTCATAACAAACAGAATTTCACTTGTGCTATCCACGAGTGCCTCGTAAGATATCACTGACATTATGATAACTAGACAGCGCCTACATAATCAAAACATATTCCTGTACCCTCGGGTGCGTTTCCAGTTAGCACAGCTCGCTGGACTGCCACTGTACGAAGTTGCTACCTTGACGGTTGGAAGCTGGCAAGCCGCCGCTGTCGATCCGGAAATGGGCACCCTGAACTGGGACGAGACGCTGAGGATGACACCGTTCACATTACTCTCTCCCCGACCTTTCCAGAGGGGGTTAACGTTCTACTCGAGGTGCAGCAGTTCGCCGGTTATTTAACGTGAACGAATGAAAGAACATATACACAATTCGGAAGAGATCTGAAAATACTTCAAGTCGTAAGAGTACTTAGACATCTTCTAGAACATTCTCTACAAATATTTGAAACGACGACTTTCTGGTTTCCATGGACATAACGGATGTTGTAACACACTTCCCCCTCCAAACAATGGAAAACGCGTATTACAGTTGAAGAAAAGAGAGATAGAATATCAGATGGCCTTATGGATGAGTTTTGAGCTAAGGTATTGATGGAGCAGGAGGGTGCGTACCCACCTTTGGCTTCATTGATTTCAGAAAATCAAGGAAAGATAAAGTAGACTCCTTGGTCAGCGGACGAGCCCAAATGGACGACATGGAGATGAGCAAGAGAAACAATAGGAGCACTGCCGCAGGGACGGGTGAGTTTGTTCGCGGTATCACCTGTCCCGCCATGTGGCACGAAGCTCTCCTTTTTCTGACTACGAAACCAACAGGGACATCGTTCATCCTTCCTGCCACGTCCCCCTTTATAGACACAGGTTCAGACGACCGTCGAACGAGAAATATGGAACATGGGATCTGGAGTTGTTCTCTCAACAACTTTCCACTCTTTCAATTCAACACGGTGATGGCAAATTCAGTTGACTAAAAAGTAAAGCAGCTAAGAATGACTTTCTAAAAAGGGAGACTCTTGTACATCACGTAAAATGGTCATTGTTGACAGGACAACAGTTTAAGTGTGAACAAAGAATCGAGCTAGGGTTCTTCCTCATGCCAAACTTTCAGTGCGATGGTCACAACCAAGCACCACAGGTCCAAGGGAACAGCTCTTCAAATCTTAACTTTTCGACACACGTACTTCAAAGGTTTCACCCAGAATCTGTCGAGCCGTTGATGTTAGAGATTCCGTGTGAACAAGCGACTTTCGTTTACGTGACAGGGCACGTGCTTGTTGAGACGAGGACAGCTCGAGTATGAACAAAGAACACTGGGCCAGTCTTCTTTCGCATCCCTAATGTTTTTTCCAATTTCTTAGATCAATGAAACTCATATTAAACGTGATAGAACCAACAAATAGGTCCTAAATTTTCAACGTCTCGGTACATAGACGCTTTAAAGTTTCCTGTGACCAAAGGAAGAAAACTGACATAAGCCAACTTCCGTGTTCCTATCGTATTTTCAGTATATGTTGAAGGAAAACTAAGGATCTAAGGTTTCTGAAGGTTTCTGATGGGAGTGACTTAAAGAGAGAACAACCTCTTTTCTCGAATAGATAAGCTGAGGCCTGCCACCATCACTGGGGGAGGGTACAGCGAGAGGTTGGGGCCATAGAAACACAAGGCAGAAAAATCCACAAAAATTGAGAGCATTCAAATGAATGGACAACTAAATGAGGACCGAATTTCCGCATAATTAATCAAATATCCAAAGCATCACAAGTAACCCCCCATTACAAAAAATAACTGCTAAGGGGTCATCTAGGAGGGAGTTCTATGGGTTCTAGCATACATCAAGCAAGTCCTATGGAAAAGACTCATTTATTGACAACATGGCCATCTCCATGTCAAAGTCTATTCTGATGTTGGGTATATAAGTGAC